AGGGCTGAATACATAAGCTCAGAGCTTCCTTCGTCCCATCTAATTAGTGTTGGCACGGATGGCCCATACCAATCTGCTTTTGGTGAACTGGAAGTGTTCACTGATGCTGACACTTTTTGGCAGATGACCAACAGCTTCAATGGGAGTATTTGGAGTCTGGCTAAATCAACTCAGTTGGAAGAGCTGGGAACCCTGTTAGGTCTACAATTATTTGCTCCTCTGGCGCTCTAGTGATAGGTATGCTGTGTGTAGTTTTCAGTCACTTCCCGCATAGCCCTTCCACCTAGCAGACCAAACAGCCTTGAAACAGGAAAGGGTACTAGGCCTTAATTCATAACATGAACATATTCCAAGGGCTTTGGTGTCTGAGGATGTATGTGTTTGGGGAGAAACATCATTTAAAATGTAAGGATTTGAAGACTACTCTGGAAAATTCTTCTGCTTACCAGACTGTAAAATTGTAAGCAGAGGATTCGTTTGGTTCTCTTGTTTGAACTTTGTCAGCAATGAAAATCTCTGGGTCAGCTTTGTGGTTTAATGGGTTCTGCAGCATGGGTTCAAGTCCAATTTGTTCCACTGATCCAGCTCCCTGTTGATGAACCAAGGAAAGCAGTGGAGGATGACCCAAGACCATGTGCCACTAAAAATCATATAGGAGATGTAGGAGACCTCGATGAAGTTTTGAGCTCCTGGCTTTCACTTGGCAAGCCATGGCCATTGTGGCCATTTGAGGAATGAAGTAGCAGACATAAGTAAGCTACATAAGATTCATGCTCACTCACTCTCTTTATAACTTTTTTTGTCTTTTTTTTTGTAACTGTCTTTTAAACAAAAATAAATAAAGTTTCAAAAAACTACACAAGAAAAACATCTTTGTCAGTAGTAATGGACCACATATGCAGTGAATACAGTAATAAATGTCCCACATTAAATAATTTCTCATGGAAACCATACAAATTTTTCATTGTTCAGAATTTTTTTGTGAAACACAAAATTATATTAACTTTGTACATAATTTATAATTTGATTTTTTCCAATGATGAGGGCCCCTCCTCTTTTAAGAAAGGGTTTATTTACTTTTATTGGAAAGGCAGATCAGATTTACACAGAGAAGGAGAGACAAGGACCATCCATCTGCTGCTTTAGTTCCGAAATAGCCACAACAGCTGGAACTCAGCCTATCTGAAGCCAGGAGCCAGAAGCCTCCGCTGGGTCTCCCATGCAGGTGCAGGGTCCCAAGGCCTTGGGCCGTCCTCGACTGCCTTCCCAGGCCACAGGCAGGGAGCTGGATGGGAAGTGGAACAGTTGGGACATGAACCAGCACCCACATAGGATCCTGGCAGTAACTGAGCCAACGCGCCAGGCAGTCTTTCTGCAATTTTTTTTTAAAGATTTATTTTTATTATTTTTTTTATTGGAAAGGTGGATATACAGAGAGGAGAGACAGAGAGGAAGATCTTCCGTCCGATGATTCACTCTCCAAGTGAGCGCAATGGCCAATGTTATGCCAATCTGAAGCCAGCAGCCTCTTCCGGGTCTCCCACGCGGGTGCAGGGTCCCAAAGCCTTGGGCTGTCCTCGACTGCTTTCCCGGGCCACAGGCAGGGAGCTGGAAGGGAAGCCGGGCTGCCGGGATAGAACTGGTGCCCATATGGGATCCCAGGCGTGCAAGGCGAGGACCTTAACCACTTGCGCCACCGTGCCGGGCCCCTTTCTGCAATTTTTAAAAGTGTTTTTTTTTTTTTTAATTGAAAGGAAGAATGAAAGAGAGAGTCAGAGACAAAAATAGAAATACAGATATCTTCCGTCTACTGGTTTACTCTTCAAGTGGCTGCAATGGCTAGTGCTGCACCAATCTGAAACCAGGAGTAAGGAGCTTCCTCCAGGTCCGCCATGCGGATGCAGGGTCCCAAGGCTTTGGGCCATCCTCGACTGCTTTCCCGGGCCACAGCAAGGAGCAGGATGGGAAGTGGGGCCTCCTGTATACCAACTGGCACCCGTATAGGATCCCGGCGCATGCAAGTGCAATGCGAGAACTTTAACTGCTAGGCTGTACCACACTGTTCCCCCCAGTCAGCATCCTAAAATGTGCATCTTGATGTGAAATTTATGCTGGGTTAAGGATGTAGAAGAATTTTGCATGGTAAGAGTTGCACAACTGTTGCTTTGCTTTGCTGATGCTACTGTTGTCATCATGACACCAGCATTTCACTGCTAGTAAATACACAAATAATTAGTTACTTACACCAGAAAACATTTATCCTCTTAATGGAAGAGCCCCTGATTCTGTAGTTTAACAATAAATAGGATTGGGACAGGCCGCGTGGTCTAGCAGTTAAAATCCTCGTCTTGAACACATCAGGATCCCATATGGGCGCCAGTTCTAATCTCGGCAGCTCCACTTCCCATCCAGCTCCCTGCTTGTGGCCTGGGAAGGCAATCGAGGATGGCCCAAAGCCTTGGGACCCTGCACCCACGTGGGAGACCCAGAAGAAGTTCCTGGATCCTGGCTTCAGATTGGCATAGCATCGGCCGTTGCGCTCACTTGGGGAATGAATCATCGGATGGAAGATCTTCCTCTCTGTCTCCTCTTCTCTGTATATCTGCCTTTCCAATAAATAAATAAATCTTTAAAAAAAAAAAAAGAATAAATAGGATTGTGTGCTTGCTTCGGCAGCACACATACTAAAATTAGAACAAAGAATAAATAGGGTTTTCTAGGCATCAGCAGTAAACATTGCCGTCCATGGTAGCATGAAGGGGAAGAAGACAAGAAGACTGGACACAGTTGCATGTACCTATTTAATCTGGTTCTTTCAGGTCTCCCAACAGCTAATTCCATTGAGTAACAAAATGAATGATGCTGGTTGTGGCTACACAAATGACTTACACAAACGTGTACATTTAACACCAGCAACACGAAAATGACTCTAATGAAGGAAAGTTTCACTGTGTGGAAAAGCAAAGTGCTAAGAGGAACCTAAAAGAAGCAGCTTTCCCTACTTAGGAGGCAACATCTAGCCAGCAATCACAATGAAACGAATTAAAACATTTATGTACAGGCACAAATAGAGATGATACTAAGATACCTTTTAGGGCACGGCATGATGGCTCAATGGCCAAATCCTCACCTTGTAAGCTCCAGGATCCCATGTGGGCGTCGATTCTAATCCTGGCAGCTCCACTTCCCATCCAGCTCCCTGCTTGAAGCTTGGGAAAGCAGTAGAGGACGGCCCAAAGCCTTAGGACCCTGCACCCATGTGGGAGACCTGGAAGAAGCTCCTGGCTTCAGATTGGCTCAGCTTCAGCCATTACAGCCATTTGGGGACTGAACTGGTGGTGGATGGAAGATTTTTCTCTCTGTAAATCTGCTTTGCTTTTTCAATAAAAATGATTAAATCTTTAAAAAAATCCTTTTAATATGTGCTTATTAGGCAGGAGAAAACATGCTGATAATTGTGCTTTTTTCATATTCAGTTACTATTGTAAAATATTTCACTAAGATCTCTTCAAGGAAATAAATGACTGTTAGGTGAAGACTATTATGAATGAAATCAGAAATTGTTAAAGAAATTCATTAAAAGTGTGATTTAGATCTGGAGACTACCTGAGTGGTTGGAGTTTAGCTATGCTCAGTGGTGTTAAGGTCTTAGGATAAAAGGTATTTATCCTCTTTGAGTGGAGGACATATTTCCAAATCTTTAATATGCTTTGTAAAAAGCAATCTTATTTTGGACTGGTTGGGGGTTGGCAAACTAATGTCATTTACTCAAGCTGTTATTCTGTGGTTGAGTTTGGTACAAGCCACTCTCCTGCAAATCCCCCAAAGGCACCCCATAGATTTTTCCCGCATATGGGAAGCCAGAAGGGGTGTGTTTACTGTCCATGATTTATAACCCCACAAGGTTATAACACGGATGTACTATCCACAAAGGACAGGCAGAGCATAATTGGAGCAATAAATAATTAGCCAGTTTAACAATATTAAAAGCTGGGAAGAACTCAATAACACAGTCTACACTAACAGAAGGAGGTTGAGGGGAGTAGAGTCACATTTGGGATGAATTCTTGGTGCAGCAAAGCAAATAACGCGCAGGTCAGCGCCAGGCGGTCCCTTTGCAGATCTCTTCACAGTCTGGTCGTGCCCGTTCAGGATTTTCCACTCCATTACAGCCTGGAACAGCGGGGGCAATGCTGGGCAAACCAGTTAGAGACTTTTCCAAAGGGGTGGGCAGTAAGTTTGAAAAGGCAGGCAAACAGGCGGGAATGTAACCCCGGAGGAAGACAAGCACGGTGAATTAGGACAGGACGAGGGAGCCATCGAGGGAGCGATCTCCACGCTCCACCCCAGCAGTCCCTCCTCGAGCTGCTGACCCGCAGGGCACGGGCTTTGTGGCGTCAGCGGGGTCCGGGCTGCAGCCCGAGCCCTCCCCTTTCTCGTGCGTGACTTTAGGCCTCCATTTTCTTATCTGGAAAGCAGGACTGCTTTGCTTTATTCCACCGGTTTACCAAGATGATCAAAGTGACAGGAAGTAATAAAGCTCTTAGCACAGCGCCCGGTCTCAGGAAGCGCTAGGAACTGGAGGCTAGGGATGTTAGCGGGTTTGGGATCGCTATGGCACCCGCCCCCTAAATGTAGGGGTTCCCCTTGAATAACGTTTATTTCCAAATGGTCGGGGCTCTGCGGGAGCGCCTCAGAACCTGGCCAAATCACGACCGGGGCAATTGAACAGCCAGAAGCCAGATCGGGTGACAGACCCCAGGCGCAGCACGGGCACAGCCCCCCGTTTCCGCTGGCTTTGCCAACGAGCCTTCGCCCTGACCCCACAGGTAGGAACCCGGAATCCCGCGCGGGGCGCCGGGAAAGGAAACGCAGTAAAGGGGCGGGGCGTCAGAGGACACGGGCGGGGCAGAGGGCGGGCCTAGAGGGGTCGGGGGCGGGGCCAGGGGAGGAGCTCGCCGAGTTCCGCCGCTGCTCGCGCCACGTCTCCCTTAGTGAGCGTCGGGGTGACAGGCCCGGAGGAGGGGCCAGCAGAGCGGGGCGGGAACTAAGCTCCTCTCGCGAGACCTGGCGTCGGCACAGCCGCGGCGACGGCGTGTCGGGGAGGGGAGCGTGGGGGCGGGGAGCGAGGAGGCGGCGGCGGCGGCGGCGGCGGTGGCGGCGTCCGAGCTACGCCACACGGGGCCGGGGCGCCGGGAGCCGGAGCGCCGACGCGCGGGGTCGTGGCGGCGGCGGCGGTGGTGGTGACGGGAGCGAGGAGGAGGGGGTGGTGCCATGGCGGGCCAGCAGTTCCAGTACGATGACAGCGGGAACACCTTCTTCTACTTCCTCACCTCCTTCGTGGGGCTCATCGTGATCCCGGCCACCTACTACCTCTGGCCCCGGGACCAGAATGCCGGTGAGTGCCGGGGCCGCGCGGACCGGGGCAGGCCCCGCCGCGTCCGGCTGGCCGGGGCCGTGCGGCCGGTCCGCCCGGTGCCCCGCCGAGCCTCATGGTCCTCCGCCCCTCAGTCCCCCATTGTTCTGGACGCCCCTGGCCGCTTGCTCCTGCCTCTTTTGTCTTCCCGCCGCTGCTGGCGACGAGCTCTCTTGGCTTGTTCTTGGGTTTTTAGCGGAGACGGCAGGGTGGGATGATGGGGGAGGTCACAGAAGAGTTGGCGCAGGCGGGGGCCGCTGGGGCCGGCAGCCCCCCGAGCCCCCCGGAGCCCCGCACCCCGAGTCCCCCGGAGCCCCGCACCCCGAGTCCCCCGGAGCCCCGCACCCCGAGCCCCCGGTGCCCTGCTGCAGCCCGCGGTGCCGAGGGTTCGAGGCGCCCTCCGAGCTGGGTGGCATGTTCGAGACGCTCCTGCCCGGCTCACCAGCCTCCCACCCCGTTACTTCCCCCGTGACTTTTTCATTTTCTTCACTGACACGGTGGAGGGGGTTGGGGGGGTGAGTTTGAAAGCGATGTCTTTATTCCTCCTAGCCAAAAAAAAAAAAAAAGGCGTCTATCTTTGGAGTTTCCTGTTTATGACGGGGAAAGTGCAAGGTGGAGGATTAAGCCTCCTGTAATTGATCTGATGGGTAGTTGTGAAGCGGCGGCTCCGTTTGCTTTTAGTTCTGCATCCCTTCGCGTGAAGCCACGTCGGGTTAGAACACAGACTGTTGGAGGTGTTCTTAAAACGTCATGTTTGTGCTGGAGCGCTGTTTAAGTTTCATTTGTGGTCGCGGATGAGATGTTTTTCAAGTTGGCTGGAACTTGCAGGGGTCTCCCCGCCTGGTGGATGGATGGTCGCGTCCACAGTGACCAGTGGGGTTTTAATGTTAACGTTTGCTTTCTGTTTGACATCACATATGCTAGCTTAAGGCTCTTGAATTGGGTGTGGTGGAATTCGCTAGGTTGTCCGGTTTACTTAGTTGTCCTGTCCTTTGGGGATCAACTCAGAACTTGTTACACTTTAAGACTGATTTAAAGCCCTGCACAAATCTGAAGTTACACATGATGCAATCCAAACATTGCGTTTAGAAACAAGAGCCACAAAGGACTCATCTTTTTTGAGCCTTCTTGACCAAGTTTAAACACGCGGTCAGTGCAAGAGTCCGCCCCAGTCCCAGTTAGCGTTTTCTCGTTGAGTGGGTAGTTGTTCACACGTGGATTTTGGACTGCTGTCTTTTCCTGGGTGCATTTAAGTTGTGTGGGCTCTCTGGCAGTGTCTGTGTGCAAGGGATTAGTTTTAAGTAATGTATTGGTTTCTCTCATCTGTAGAACCCAAGTCAGTCTCTTGGTATTTCAAATGAGAAAGGTCGTTTGTCTCCCATTTGTGCGTGGGGTTGGTTGTGTGGAAGACAGAAGGCTACCAGGAAGATAGGTGGGTTTTGTTAGAATGTGGTTTTGGCAGCTGCCGATTTCAGAGATTGGTAATCACCAACTGAACGTCTGATATTTGACTCAATTTTCATGGTACTTGTGCAGTATGAAATTTGCCCAACAATGACACAAATTAAGCCCCTTCCATTTATAAGGGGCTTTAGACAAATGGTGGTAGTTTGGGTGGAAGGAATTGAGCACTTGTAAGTCACAACTTCAGATGTTACTTTGCTAAATCTTATTAAAAATGTAATGAGGTCCTGTCACTGTGGTTATCCCCGTGGGACAGCTGGAGGTTGGGGTGGGGGGAAGATAAGGACGTTTTCTGTGTGGTGAATCAAAGCTCTACCCCCCCACCCCTTCCCGGCTGCGTAGAAAGCCCAGAGAACTCTAGGTGCTGATTGGCCCATTCCCGACATCTGTTCCTCCTTCAGACTTGCCTTAGGAAATGTGTGCACGTGCTGATGGATTTGTTTGGTCTTGCCTCAAATTTCCCTGTTAAAGTGGACACGGATCATGGTGCAAATTGTTGGGCACCACTCAGACTTTTACCATGGGTTTACTGAAATACCTTGTTTCTTTAGAATTACAGTGGAGTTAAAAGGATGTCTTCGGAGTGGCTGCTCCCCACCCTAAATAAAGCCTAGTAACAGTAGTTTAAACATCAAGGAGAAATGTTGAATTACAACTTCACCCAAAGCTTCGGAAAGAGTTTTTTTTCAGATGTTTGCATAATAATAATTTGCTGCCTTTACTGATGGGGCAATTTAATCTTTATTCATCTTACTTTAAAAAGCCCTGTTTTGTGTTTAGGTATCTATCTGGCTCTTGGTCTGTGAGGGCCTCTGGGGCGTGGCAGGGTCTAAACACTGCCTTCCTTGTGAAATCCACAGACAGTCTGAAGCATGTCTTCGCTCATGGGCTCTGCGGATCAACCGTGGACCTGAGTAACAACATGTTTTTGCATATTTTAGTAATTGCTTTTAAAGATTATCTGGTTTTCCTGTGAAGCTCTTCAATAGCCAGATTAGAAATATAAGCATGAGTTTCAAAGTTCTGACAGTCTTGATTTTTCGGGGATACTTTCTGCATGAAAATATGAACAGATTTGCTCTGCCACAGTCAAGTTCTACAGCCTTGGAGTTTAAGTACTCTTGAAGGTTTTGTTAAAATGACGTTAGGGGCTTTGAGTTTCCCAGTTCGCAGTTTGTATTAGAAGCACCAATGCCTTTTCATAGATTGTAAAAATTAGGATTTGAAAAATAGAGCTAGGTTATTGATTATAGGGTTGACGTGTGAACTGAACTTATGCTGTTACCAAAAATGTTATTAATAGAATCTTTTTGCCTTGATTTTGTTTGATTTGCTGGACTACGGTACTTATAATTGGCTGAATAAAATCACAAAATACTTTTCTAGACAGTTGAGGACAAAAACTGAAGAAATAATAACATGGGGGGGGATTTAGATTTCTCAAGAACAGTGGCTCCCAACTGTGTCTCCATATTAGCACAACTTGGGGAGCTTTTAAAAGCGCTTCTGCCATCTTCAGTTATTCTGCGTTAATTGGTCTGCAGTGCTGCAGCGTATTTGAATTTTGAAAGGTCCCTATATGATTCTAAATTGTAGTGTTTTTGAAAAGTGGTGATTATAGTTAGATTTCCTTAGATTAATCTTTTGCTGGAGTTGTCATTTGGAAGATAGTATATTTGTTTTGGTATGTGCTTTTTGCTTAAAATCTAGAAAACTAGTGTTTTAGATTTTTTTTATTTTAGAAAGCTAAATAGTGCTTATTATAAAATAGCACTGTAAAGTTCTTTTTTTTTTTTTTTTGAAAGGCAGATTTACAGAGAGGAGGAGATACAGCAAGAAAGCTCTAACATCTGCTGGTTCAGGTGGCCACAACGGCCTGAAGTGAGCCAATCTAATGGTAGGAGCTAGGAGCTTCTTCTGGGTCTCCTATGTGGGTGCAGGGTACCAACGCTTTGGGCCTTCCTCCATTGCTTTCTCAGGCCTCAAGCAGGGAGCTGGATGGGAAGTGGAGTAGCTGGGACATGAACCAGTCAGTGCCCCAGTGGGATCCTGGTATTTGCGAGGCAAGGATTTAGTCACTAGGCCATTGCACCAGGCCCCATGTTGTAAAGTTCTGATAGTTGGAAACTAACAATAATAGATTATTAATATGGGTTTGTAGCCAATACGCCGAAATTATCTATCATTTAAACATTGTGCTGTGATTGGAGCCTTAGGTAGTCTGAGTATCCTTAAATTTTGAAACAATTTTATCTAATTACCTTAGCTACCACCTGACTTTGGTGTTGCTTATAATTAGGTACTGTGACAGTTTGTTCCCTCCTGACAATGTTAATGCTTGTCTGTTCAGTACTATTTATGAGTATTCTTAATGTTTATATGTAATTTCAGTCTCTTAGTGTAAGTACTTAATTCTGTTTACTACTTCTTTGGTTTGTAATGGAGGAGTAATTTTAAACATGATTTTCTTACTGTTTGTGCCAGGTTCATGTTAGTATATTTGTTAAGAGAAAATAACTGATTGCTTGTAATTGTTCATAGAATTTCAAATAATCAAAATGCTTTCATTCTTCTGTAGGTTAAGAAGCGTAGATCTTTTGAATTGAGAGAAAATAAAACTTTGCATGTTCCTGGTTTTTGTTTTGTTTCTTCTTGATCTTACTCTTGGGGCTGCATCTTACTTTTCCAAAGCTTGACATTACCTCTTCTATTTTATTTCTTCAAAACTGCCTGGTTTTGAAGCTTTGCTCTGATAAAAATAGTAACCAACTATGGTTTTAGGTAAGTGGTGCATTTCATTGTACTCTTCTGTAGAAACAGTAATCTGTTTCATCAGAAAGTGAGGATTGAAACGAACTGAGGATTAAAGGAGCAGTGTCTGGCACCTAGGTGGAGATGCTGTTGTTTCCTATTTTTTGCTGGTTGCTTGGTCTTTGTGGAATAGTTTGATTTGGTACTAAAACATGCTTGTTTTTCATTGAAAGAATAATAGAACTTAAAAAAAATACTTTTATTTGTTATTGCTTACTTACTCCCCCTCAAATAGTACCTGCGTGAACTGTTACTTGGGAGTGTGACTATGAGACCACTGTTGGTGCTTAGTAGTTTAGTAGGAAAACCCATAATTTGAAAAGGGAGAGTGTTTTTTTTTTAAGATTTACTTGTTTTTATTGGAAAGGTAGATTTACGGAGAGAGGATCTTTGAACCTCACCCCCCAAATGGCTGCAACATCTGGAGCTGGGTTGCTCCAAACCCAGGGTGTCTTCTGGGTCTACAACATGGGTGCAGAGTCCCAAGTGCTTGGGCTGTCTTCTGCTGCTTTCCCAGGCACATTTGTAGAGAGCTGGAATGGAAGTAGAGCAGCTGGGTCTTGAGTGGTGCCCGTATGGGACACTGACACTGTAGTTTGAAGTGTACTGCATCAGAGGGCTGGTCTGGAAATTTTGGTTTTTAAGTCTCACATTAGTTCCTGCTTAGTTATCACTGAACTCTCAGCCTTGTTTTCTAAGGGTAATAA